CGGGTACTCTATTGCGTACCGTTGTTGGCTTGCGAAAAATAAAAAAAAAATAAAAAATAAAAAATAAAAATAAATAAATAAATAAATGCAATATATACTTTTTTAAGTTAACACTGTTGCTATTGACCGTTTTTCTGTTTTCATTGCAATTTTCATTGTTTATTATTCCGATTTTGTCAATGCGTTTATTTCAAGTTAATTTGCACTTTTCACGTTTAGTTGTATTAATTGAATTTTATTAAAATTATTATTATTTAATCGCTAAGAACAACTAACTCTAGATTTTAAAACACGACATGCAATAGTGGAATAGAAAAAAACGTCGAAAAATCACGAACCGCACGAAGTTATGAAAACATACACACCACGGCACAAACGATATAATACGGGCATAAAAATGATGAAGAAGAAGACAAAAAAGACGAAGAAGAAGAACAAGCAAAAGAAAAGCACACAGAAATGTGCAAAACGAAAATTGTTTGTTGCTTATGAACGGTGCGGCGTATATAGGGGTAAGAGTTAAGCGCACGTTTAAATAGCAGAGATAATTCAAAAATAAAAAAAAAAAATAAAAAAAAAAATAAAAAAATTCACATTGTTACGCGAGATGAGATAGATATGTTAAAAAACAACGAATGAAGAGAGCCCGGAGAACTGTTAAAAATTTCAAAGAGAATTAATGAATACAATCGATGAGAGGAAGAGAGGACGACTGAGAGGTAGATGGATGAAAATTCAAAAGAACGCCGCGCAATAGTATGATAATGTGTGTTGTTCAACAATTGAAATACAAAACAGTTGCATGATAACATTTATGTACGCAAATCTTTGATGGTTAACAGTGTGTATTACGTTGATAGAAAACAAGAGCTTTAAAATGCTCTCTTATTCTCTATGTGAATGTTTAAAAATGTATATACGAGCGTGCATAGATAATAATTCTCTCTACTAGATTTAGTAAATTATTTTATTGAAATGAAAAGCTTTAACTCTGTTTATCTTAACCGCTATATAATTAAAGGTATTATATATATATATATATATATTTATATATAAACAAGTATATATATATATATATATATATAAACTTGTTATTTATTATAAACAATAAATTAAAAAAAACGTTTTATTTTTTTATTTATTTATTTATTTATATTTTTTTTTTATAAATGCATATGTATGTGTAACAACTATTCCTGCTGTCAGCTTTAATACTATGAATACATACTTATCAAAAATGTCATTTCCGACATCCTTGTTGTCTGACTTTTCTTCTTATTTTTTTTTTTTTTTTTGTTTTTCTTAAAAAATTTTATTATATGCGTTTCATAAAATTCTCGCTAATATTGTTGTCACTGAATTCTCAATAGAAAGGAAAATATAAAAAAAAAATTTTCAAAATATCCTGTAGTTCTCTTCTTCAAGACATTTTTGTTATCATGAAATTTTAATGTGAAACTGTACTCCGTATATATAATACGCGAGCTGTCAAAAAATTTTGCTTTCAAAAACTTTGACATTTATTTATTCAGTAATGGAATACTATAAGTATAACTATCTCTATCAGACAAGTACGTACGTACGTAGGATAAACTAAATGTCATATGTTCTCGCGAATTTTCTACTTAATATAATTTAAATTAACTTGAATTGTTCTTCATTATTTTCAATATGCAATTATTTTTAAAGTCCATAATATCTAAAAATTACCAGACATGAAAGCGGATATAGGGAATTAAACATATTAATTTTCAATTTTTTAATATCGGTTTTAAAAAGCATAGCCCTCACTTGAATTCTTCAAGTCGTGGAGAATGGCAAATATTTTTAAATTTAGTTAAAAAAAAAAAACAAACCAAAAAAATGCAAATTTAGTTAACTTATTTATAATATCTTGTTTTCGGTTACATTTCTTATGCAGAATAAACAGTAAGCGAAGCAAAGAGTGACGCACTTCTTCTTGAAAAGCACTTGTAAAAAAACATTTTTTTTTTTTTTTTTTGTTTACGGTTAAAGGTCATGAAATTTTACATAGTGATATTATAACTCTGGGCTATAATTTGCGGAAATTTCGTTTTGAAGATACGTTACTTACTTAAGCTGTTTATATATAGATATGTATATAGATATATTTAAATCGCTTATTTCACAATGCGTACGTTATAAATTTTAAGTTCAATTTGATTACGTGTACAGGCGTATCTCGTTTAACACGGCACTTGTTAAGCACTGAAGTTCCGATACAACGCGGTTCACATTGCATTCATTTACATCATTTCAAGTTATCTCCTATATAACACGGTATATATGTACAATTTTTTGACTTATATTACATCGAAGCTTAAATTATATGATTCTAGATGACATTTTGTTTTAAATAAAAAAAAAAAAATAAGAAAAGTTTCGTTTAACGCACGATTTCGATACAGCACGGCACACAATTAACCATTTATTCATTTATTTATTTTAATTGATATCGAGATATCGAGTAAATGAGGACAACAAACAGTGTTAGTAATTCAATATATTGAACAAGTCTCCAACAAGGTGGAGGATTACGAGACAAGAGTCTTTCTTTATCGAATTCAGTGTTTGAGAAGATACCCTGAAAGATGATAACTCAGGGTCGAGCACACTTGGCCGCTTGTAATATTATTATTGCATTATTGCAAAGAAGAATAGAAATCGAAATTCACGAGATATCAGTTCAAAATTGGTTATAAGTGTTTAATGAATGGATTTACAATTTCTTCTCAAATTTTCTTAATTACAAAGGAATTTTTTATTTATCAGCTTAAGATAATTTGTGCCCAAGATTTATCATACGATTTGATGAACATAATCTTCTTATTTGTTTTTGATATAAATGCCTCTCACGCAAAGAATGTATTGGAATTTAACTGTGTATAAAAGTGTATACAATTGCCAATTGTCTACATTCTAGTTGCATTTAATTTCGATATTAATTTTAAATTTAAAATGAAGCAAAACTTGAATGAAGACAATTGGCAACAATATGCATTTAAATTATAAAGCAAAACTGAGATTTGGAATTGGAAAAATGTTCTCGCAAAGTCTCCTATTTCTGATCCGTAATATGAATTCTCTCTCTTTACTCCTTACTGTTACGCTTTTCACTCTAAAATTTTTCAAATTTATGAACATATTCAAGATGAAATCTCGATAAAAATTTTTGTTATTATTTTGCTCATCTCGAAATTGACTACCGTGCTCTACCTTATATATAATTTTAGTAGCACAGAATCAAAATTCATTCCCTATGGGCTATGTGTTGCAAGCATTTTTCTCAAATTGCAAAAATTTTTTATATACTTAAAATAATTTATTACCTCAACGAGTCTTAAAATTTAATTACGATAACAACTTGGCGACATATAAAATCATTTCAATTTCGAATGATTCCAGTCAACATTGATTGGAAAATGCAGCACACAACTGCAGCAAAAACTATATAAAATATAGTTCGAGAACAGTGCGCGCATTTGCGGTTACTTCTAGAATTAAACAACACCCCGATAAGCCCCGATTATTGATATTGTTAAGAAATTTAGTCAATCTGAAGCAAAGTTACTTAAGATGCTATTCGATTATATATTGATATATATATATATATATATACATGTATGCAAATATTAATAGGAGAATGGAAAATAATTGATATATTTACCTTGTTGGTGAATTGCGAAAATTGTAACAACAACAACAGAATGAACAAACCATATACACTAGAAAATTAATTCCGCTGCACAACGTTGCTGAGGCTGTCGGACCGCCGGTTGCCCCACCACTATTGTTGTCGCAATTGGAGGCGGGTGTAGGAGTTTTTGGATAATCACCACTTTTTGAGGCAGTTTCGTGTGTGGTGGCTAAAAGTTCAGTGGCCGAAGCTGAAGAAGCGGAAGCGTTTGTAAGGTTAACGCTTACGCCAGCCGCGGCCAAGGCAGTTTCAACAATCGATGCCGCCGATGATTTACGCCGTGACTTTTGATGCGGTGAATTTGTTGTCGCGGCCGAAGTGGCGGCTTTCAAGAAATTCCTTATTCGTCTTGTGGTTTTAGATGCTTTTTTTGGTTTTGTGGGTAAAGAAAAAGCTAAAGTTGGTTCAGTTTTTGGATTTTGACAGATTGGTCCAAATGGCGAATTGATCGTCGAGAGTGGCGAGTGCTGAGATAGATTGTGATGATAATGATGATGAAGATGATGATGGTGGTGCAAATGTGTAGGCAATACTGCGGGAAGTGATAATTTACGAGGTTTTTTCAAGTTATCGCGTTCGTATTGGCTGAGAATTGTGCTGCAGTGGGTAGATGATAATGATAATGCTGGCTGTGCGATTGTCGGTGCCGATAATGGTATTGTGTGTCTAGCACTTGAAATGTTGGCGGCGGTTGCGTTAGTGCTGGCGGTGTTAACGGCGTTGGCGGTACTGGCGGTGACAGTAGCGTTGTTGGTGACATCAAATGTCAATTGCTTACGTTTCTTTTTCACTTTGCTCGTGGCCTTTAATAAATGTTTTGATCTGAATTGTTGCGCTGCGGCTGCTTCTGAATCCGAGTTATATAAGTTTTTTTGTTGCAATACAGTGGTGATGGTAGTGGCGGTAGTAGTGGTGGTTCTGGTTGAGTTTAATGACGCGGAAGAACTCGTTGTTGATAAAGAAGTTTGTTTTAAGATTGGCCGGGTAGCTGCTATCGGTGCTGAAGATCGTGTTATTTGCGGCGTTGGAGCAGTGATTGCTTGAGGCTGTTGCTGTTGTTGTTGCTGTTGCTGCTGTTCTTGTAAGATATTAGCATTTGTGTTTGTTGCTGCTGCCGCTGCCTCTAAAATTTTCGCATTAAACGCCGCCACCTTAAATGACAACACGTTTTACCGTCTAGGGAAGTGAAAATATCATATATTCCACTAATGATGATGATGATATTCTTCTTCGTAATCACCTCCTCGAAGTGTATCTATTCTTTTAATACATTTATCATTTCTTTTTTTTTCTTTTTTTTTATTCAATTTTTAAAAACTTATTTATACTTCTTTACATAATTGTTGTTGTAGGTGCGCATGCAAAAAGTCACGTTATTTTCTGATTTGCTTTTATTTTTCAATTAAAACTTTTTCGGTGCCGCCTTTATGCCACCACCGACCAGCAGTGGCGTTCAATTTCATTTGAAATTTATTCCTTTCAATTTTGTGATAACAAATTTTTAAGGCTTAAGCATCAATTTTTACGCATGTGACAATCAATTGTTAGTGCAGTTTGTACTCGAAGTGGGGAAAATAGAAAGGAAAAAAAATATAATAATAATAATGCACACAATACAAAGCAGCAGTATTCAGCCTCCAGCACTTAAGAATTTATATTTAGACACCTTGATGTGGTTGTTGTTGTTGCCGTTATCCATGCACATCTCTGCATACATACATATATATGCCTTTAATACGTATAATAATTTTTTTTTGCTCCATAAAAATCTCAAGGCATTGCACTCAGATTTCTTTGCACTTTTCGGAAAAAATTTTTCCTTTTTTCTTCAGACAGTCACTCGCATTTTTCTATTATTATTATTATTTTCTTTTTTTTTTTTTAATGAATTTTCTATTTTCTGTATTCGTTTATAACCTCACTGCGAACACGTTAATTGAATTGAAATCTCTTAATAATTTTTGCTTATTTTTTTTTTTTTTAAATAAACAAAACAAAAAAAAAAATAATAACAATAAAAATTATTTAAACAATTTTTTTTGAACATAAAATGCACATTTCTCCTCGGAATAATAATTGATTGGCTTTGGTTGGCTTTGATTTGATTATATGCCGACAACGGTTTGGTAACGTTACGGTCTGCGCGCGTGAGTTTGAATGAATTTGTACTAAAATAAAAAAAGACAATTTGTAGAAATAGGCAACACAATGCAAAAATAGCAAAACACCAACAACAACAGCACTAACAATAAAAATATCCACACAAGCACTTACACATCTATATATATATACCGTCAAACACAACCAGTCAGTAAATGAATAGCAGACAGGTTAACTAGCTCGGGCTTAGTTAAGCATAGACATAGATTAACTTTGTGGCATTTATATAGAATAAATTTAAACACACATTTTAACAGTAATATTAACAGATTTAAATTTTGTTTGTTGATACGATAAAATGCCAAAAAAAAAAAAAACAAAATGTTTAAAAAAAAAAAAAACAAAGTTTGCAAACGGGATCACACATCAAATACGAGACACGCTGAACTAATAAAAAATAACTAACAGTATACTACACCCTCGCTATGTTAAAAGTTCATTAACAATACGTAATACTGGAGAAATGTAGTCATATACATACATACAAACATTCGCTCAACTAGATTTCAATTCAATTCTCCCTATGCATTCGCGTACATATGTATATATATATATATATATATATATATATATATGTATGTATGTATCCAAACTTAGTTTAGCACATTTGCTATTTGTGCTCTATTCTGCTTCTCTCTTTCTGTCCCTCTCTCTTTCTCTCTCTCTCTCACTCTCTCTCTCTGTGTGTGGCTCTTCATGTCGTTATTCTGTTTTTATTTGTTTATTAAAGTTTTGTGTTGAATTTTTATTGGTGCTGAAAGATCATGCGTCAAAATATTGTTGCTGTAATATAGTATTGTTTGTATTTTGTTGCTGTAAAATCGGTTTCCGTGCATTTGGTTGTTGCTGTAAAAAGTAGTATTCGTATTTCGTTGCTGCAAAAGTAGTATCGCGTGTATTTCGTTACTGTAACAATAGTACAGTGTGTATATTGTTGCTGTAAAAGTGATAACGTGTTTATTTTGTTGCTGTAAAAATAATACATTGTGTATATTATTATGCTAATCTTTGTTTACATGGTTTGCCATGCATACATACGATTGTTTACATTTCAAAAGTAAGCCAATATATCCTTTATTGTTGTAGTTGTTGTAAAAGTAGTACCCTCTTTTTAGTTGTTGCTGTAAAAATGCTATCGCATGAATTTTGTGGCTGCGGTTCTTCCTATAAAGTTACTAGGGTGCAAAATTCTTACTGTAAAATTACCACGATAGGTATTTTGTTGCTGTAAAAGTAATATCCGGTGTATTTTGTTGTTGCATTTTGGGCACATTGTCTATTTGCCATAATTTTTATTTATATAACTGTTAACATTATGATTATTATTATTGTTATTATTATTATTACTCTTTAAAATCATTACTATTTAAATAATAATAATTTCTTTTTTTTGCATATTTTTTTTTTTTCTAGTTTGTCTTCTGTCCTTATTCAATGATAACATATCATAGATATATCAATTATATTAATAGAAATTTGAAAGAATTTAAGATCTAAGGTATTAAAATGTCTATGTTTTGAATGTAAGGACTGTCCGAGTCATTTCATCTGGCAACACGAATAATTCTTGTTTTTGCACTCTTCTGCGCATACGTTTAAATTTATTATAAATTTTTTTTTTTTTTTTTTTTTTTTTTTTTTTTTTTTAACATGAACAACATACGTAGAATAATATGCAATTAAATTGTCTCAGACGCTCTCTGTCTCTCTCTTTTTCTCTCTCTCTCTCTATTGAAGAGCAATTCATTTTCTCATCTAATGCACTTTATTTGTTTAACTGTCAAATGACGCTCTCTCTGTTAATGTTATTATAAAACTTAGTTGTGCACTGTTGTATTATATATATATATATATGCAAAGGTAATTCTCATACTCTCTCTACTTCAACTACTCAACATGTTTTTTTTATTGTTTACCTTTCCTGCTAAAATTTTGTTTATGAAACGAAACTTTTATCTCGTTTACATTTTCTTATGTTATCTCTCTTGCATTATTATTTCATTTTCGTGTCTAAATAACATTTCAGCTTTTTAGACCACATGCAGAGCTGCATTTAGTAAATCTACGCGTATTAAAGAAAAAAAGAATTTCGAAGATATTTAAATGAATTGAGAAACGTTTAGACTTTGCATGCGAGAAATATAAAGGATTAGGTATCACTCTAAAATACATATGAAGTTTATTACAAAATGTATATTCTTCAATAGGTTTTAGTCGCACTTAAGCTTGTCAAAGATTTAAAAATTGCATTTTATGGATCACATTCAGAAATAGGCACAGCATACGAATTAACTGAAACAACTTTCGAAATCTCTCGGTGAATGTCGTTCTTCACTCAACAGAGTATATGTTAAACGAATTCGGGTTTATTTCAAATATTGCATAGATACGATTAAATCGATTTAGAATTCGACGCTGAGTCAAATGTGTATATTCCTGGTAGGGTCTTTGAAGCTTCCTTCTGGCCATTGCAAAACTATTGAAAAATAGAATATACCTCTATCTTGTGGTGGTGGATGCACAAATACTTTACTAATCCTAGAACTGCCAAGCAGGTCTTATGAATACGAAATGTGTCGACTTGAAATTTATAATTGAAAATGCAATTCGAAATGCTACTCACTCGGCTACACAATAAATAAGTATGCGTTCAATTCAATCGAATGACTTTTGTTCATTCCGGACGTGGGATCGTATTTAAATCGTATTTCAGAGAGATTTCTGATGAATGTCTATGTCAAGTGTTCTTGGAAATATTTCTATGGTTTTTTTTTTTTCGACGAAAATAAGACGAAATTTCCGGGTTTTTTGCTGAGCTTGATTCAGTTGATTTATGTCTGCCGTCAAAGGACGGTTTGCAATACCTAAAAGGAAGAAGAAAGGCGTAAATGTTCTTTATGGGTATCAAATTTTGTATCGATTTAAGCATGTCCCTCTAATCGATTGTCCGCCTATGTAAGGGTCACGGTGAACATTCACCCCTTCGCAACAATGAAGATATGGTCTTCAAATTTGATAAAAAAAATTAGAAGCCCTTGCAGGCATTATCTCAAATAATCTCGGCTCTCTGGATTTTTTGCTAATCTCATAAACTTTGATAAAAAATTGTTAAAAATTCCCATTTATATCCTAAAAAAGATTGGAAATTTCATCTGATCCCGTCCACTGGTGCAGGGTATGGAAACTTTTTTTTTTGGATTAAAGTCTATGAAAAGGATATGAAAAATCCCACGCTAGCCGTACATAATATTGTTACTTGTTGACTTTCTCTTCTTCGTATTAATTGGACAATGTATTAGCGCCAAAGCTTGACTTTATGTTCCACTTTTTGAATCATTCGATAGGAGTTGGAGTTGGAGAGAAATATAAGTATATATAATTTTATGTTGACGGGACGGTATTCTTTTCCAACTTCCTCCTATTATACCTTATATTTATAATTTATTTATAAAGTAGAAAGATTTTTACATTTAAAAATGGTTTAAGAGTTACGCGCAATGTGCACAAAAATTTGAAAGAAGTTCATTTCAAAAATATCGCATGTTTCCAGATTGGCACCATAATAGGTGTATAAAAAAAAGCTTAAATATAAGACAATATTTTTTACTTAAATTGAATCTTTTTTTTAGAGGGATCAATGAAGACAGTTAATGGCCAATATAATCACTATCGTTTTTTAAAGGTAGCTTCGATTTTTATAGGCAGGGATGAAATTAATTATCGCAGGAGCCTGCACTGGGATATTATACAAAACTTTTTGAATATTTTTCCAAAACTCGTTTTTATTGGTTTTGTTGTCTACGCAAACATTCGCAATAGGATTGAAACGGGGAGAAGGATTTGGTCATGCGCCTTCACGCATCCAGTAAATTCCATAGCCTTTTCTGAGATGTATCAGTCCGACGCACGAAGACGCACAACAAAAGCAGCCCCGTATTATACGATATCTTCCGCCTTTTTTTTGAATAAACCTAAGGCGGAATTTTTTTCCTTTTGACTGAAATACATATCTTCCCGCATTATTCCCGAAAAAAATTCATTTTTGGTTGTTTAGTTTGCTATATTTTTTAATTTTTTTTTTTTTTTTTTTTTTTTTTTTTTTTTACCTTCTAGTCTGCATCAATTTTTATGGGTTAAAGCGTAATGTTGGCTAAGCAAAGGAACTTTCCGAGCAATTCTTCTTGGTGGATTGGCATCTCATAATCGTCTACGATTCAGTTCGGGATGATACAGAATTCCCATATTTCATTGGAAATTGCTTTAGACGACTTGAAGGGATTTTGTTTTGCTTAAATTATCATTTGATTAGCGGAACCAGGAGAAATGGTTTTAATTGCCCTGCATCTTTCTTTCGATACCTTTTTTAAGGGGTTCAAAGCATTCGTAACGAGATTGTATGACCGCCTTGTGATGCAATAACAAATTTTTATGTTTTTCCTTGATTTTGCAGGGAATGAATCAACCGTGTCTTGCCTTCACTACAATGATGTGCTCCATCAATCTAGTATTATTATAAAAATTAATTCATCTTCCATTGATTGAAAATACTTTTATTCCGATAATAAATGTGGTCATAGAGTAACTCCAAAGAATGTATAAAGAATCATTTAATTTATATTATTGTCAATAGCTTATACGTGTTAAGAGACATCGATTTGAAATATTGTTACGAAAATTCTACATCTGATGAAAGTTGACCGATTTTCTAAGAAAGAAAATGCTAAAAACGATGAAATCAAATACAAATTCGCAATGCTTTATTGGCCGACAAAGATGGCAATTGGCGAAAAGATTAAAAAGGGCTTAGTGTGAAAATGTCACAATGAAACTTGCCTGTAAGAGGGTATGTAAGCGAACTACTGACTGAAGACGAAGTTATTCGAATTAAAAGAATTGAATTGAAATATTGAAGCGGGACTAAAAAAAATATTGTATAAATAAGTTGCTGTAAATTTATTCGTAAATAGATCTCCTAAAAATTAAAAATAAAACATCTGCTATCCTAAAAATCGCTCAATACGAACTTAGTTATAAGTACGCAAAGTCACAAAGGACACAACGGATATGATACACAGAGACATCTAAAACAAGTTTTGCAACAAAATTATACCTTTACATAGCGCTAATTATCGAACATACCTATGCGGTTATTGAAACAGCGGACGCAGTTGAATGTATTTTTCTTACATCCTTCGTTGTCTCAGATATCTATCCTCGTTGGCAATATTATGCAAATGTAAAAAAAAGAGAAGACCAACAACAAATATATATGTGTATGTATTTGTATTATTTCCGCAAAGTTTGCGAGTTAAAAGGAAAATTTTATCTAAAACATCACTCAATAAGTCTCCGGTCTGATACATATATGGCATGGAGCAATAAATTTGCAAGTGCTTTGTTAATTTTAAACACAATTGTATGGACACCGATGATACTGAACACTCCGAAGCTGCGTGATATCTGATATCTGAATGAGAAAGCCTTATATGAGATAGGTGACACATTTGCTCACTATTGACAGCCAAGTGGTAAATGCCTCAGATCGCTGTTTGGCGCTGCTAAAGCAAAGTAAAAATGATTGTTTCATGCAAAATGTCAAACCGTTAGTTAGCCGAGTAAAGAGCAGCCGGCAGAAGGCTTCTTCCTAAGCAAACAAAAACAAAAACAAAAACAAAATAAAAACCGTGTCATTAAAACTATTCTAACTTGTAAGCTAATGTTCGAAATGTCATGAAATGTTGACACATGTCATTTGAAGGTTGATACCAAGCAAAAATTTTATGTGTCTCTCAACTGTGTGATGCATATATCGCATTAGACGGGAGACTTATTGAGTGATTTGATATGTATATAGGGATCATACTATTTGGAGAATGAATTGAAAAAGTGTGCAAGGGCTGAAACTTTGTCTTCTAAAAGTTGACAAAGTGACCTTTAATTTGAATTTCACTTTACTTTAAAAATTCTTGCGTTTTATTATAGAGATATAAATGTTGTTACGAAAATCATACAACGTATTTGCTAAGCGAGGAAACCGCGTGCATGCAAACTACCTAATTTTGTTGAAAATGAAATTTCTTAAAATGTAAGAAGAGCGATAAAAACAAACACAGAAACAATATTCTCATTAAATAAAGGCGCCTTATGCAGCTAGCTGCTGATGAGAAGGCACCTTGTCTTCCACCTGGCAATTGGCAAATTGTCTAACGAAAACTCTCATGAAATCGAACAGTTCAAAGGATTAGTAAATATTATCAGAAATCCGATATTGATGGCTAGTTTTCAAAAGGTTTGAAAGCGAAGTATTTGCTTAACCCTTACTACTCCTATATTAACGGTGTATCGGCATCGCATTTCTCTATACACCAAC